GTTTATTCAAGGGATATTTTATCTACCAAAATAACTGCTTGAACGTATTCTCTTTAATGTGGGGCTTTTAATTTCACTCTAAAGCAAATATGAACGGTTGAGTAAGACTGATAAAAATGCAATCAACCAGGGCTTAATTAGTTATACACAAGGTTATTGCTGCAGCCTTAAACTCTGTTGTGATCTAGTCAAATAAAAATCCTTTTTAAAACCAGTGTAGAGATACATTTATCAGACGTATGGAGTGGAAATAACGAAGTAAATCATTTTGAAGTGTTAAAAGATTAATAAACAAAAAAAGGCATTAGAAAGAGGCAGACTACTAAACACAAAACCCATAAACACGTCTATCTTAACTTCTGATTCAATCTCTTTTATATTATTTCTGTAAAACCAAAACGTGCAAACTGTTGAAGCCCCAGGTTTGAACCCGTCCTGTAAATGCAGGCACACCCCGGAATAACCCCAGATAACCTCGGCTTGCAGCAGTGAATATGCCAGGAGCACGGAGTTAGACCGTCATATTGATCCTCGTTCATAACTCGCACTTAGGCATGACCGTTTTATTTCTCCGCTGCTCGCGCCACTTCCCTTCCTCCGCGCTCGCGTTTCCCAGCTCACAGTGTGATCTGTATTAGCTGTCCACACACGTGATCAATCCCATCATGATCACACTGACCCTTCATCATCCCTGTTGTGATGCTCATCTGCCAGCCCGAGGCCAACGTACAATTAACCTCTTTTTCCTCCGAGGAGGGTTTGACCCTCAGGGGTCCTTGCTTCGTGCGCACTTTAATGAAGACTCACAAAGTAACTCCATCTTATCCTTCAAACGGAATAACAGACGAGGAGGGTCAATACGCAGGCTATAAAATGGGTAGCATGTAGCTCGTGTTCTAGGCACAGTGTTGTGGTGGAACATTACGGGACAATAATTCACTGTTATAGAGAGTGAGTTGCGCACGGACCTGTTAGGAGAGTCATTCTACAGAAAAGGGTGGAATTCTGAGTGATACAAATCTGCTGAAATATATGTAGCGACCCTGTATAGAGGCTGAGGGTGTCATCAGGCATCCCCCGTCTCTGGCCGAATCCCACAGAAGCTGCACAGATGCTGGTCTAGGGTGCGGCCGGTGGTTGGGGGAGCGGCCACGGAGCGGAGGTTGTGACGTAGACACTGCTGTATATATAGGTGTGTGTGTGTGGGAGTTAAGTGTGTAAGGGTGGAAACCCCAGCTGTACCTGTACCTGTATTCCTCTAAGCTAAGAAGAGTTATTAAAGGCCCTAATAACTGAAGCCTGTGGTTCCGACTCCATCTGTGAACGCTGAAATATATTCCTTCTAAACACATCTAAAACCTGTTAAATAGCAATAACTAACTCTTAACTTGATGAATCCACAACAAGTAGAGCAAGTATTTGTATTATTTTTTATTATTTTTATACATTATACAAAGCTTATTTATATAGGAACGTCACTGGTGTTACGTGTTACCAGGAAGAAAAGTAACACCAGTGACGGTAACACCAGTGACAATTTGGAGAAAACACTACCATTTTAACAAAATGGCTGCAATGTGTCAGACCAAATATGGCTTCAGTCAATATCAAAATCGTTTAACTCTTCAATACAATACATTTTCCCATTCAAATGTTCACCCCTAGGGCTATGAAAGGAGTAACGCTAATGACAGACTTGAAAGATGCACTACAATTTGAAGATACGACACCTTTAACAAACAAAGTAAGAAGTATCTGACTTTCCTTATGTCTTTGTCCACTGCACTGCCTCAAATGATCTCTTGTTACAGGAGGCACTTCAGAGACAGTACATTACTTCAAAATAAAAGCGTTTTGTGTAGCAGTAACACCAACGACGTAATTTTGGGTGACTGACATTTATTGGATATTATTAATAATAATTTGCCTTTTTTTTTACCATTTCAGTGTTATATTTAATGTATGTAGGCTAATGTTATGTAAATATGAATGAGATTTATTTATTGAAAAAAAATGTTTTTAAATGAAAACTATAGGCTCTCCATGTATGATCAAAGTGACAAGGCAGTTCCTTGAACTTGGCATTTTAAATAAATTGCAATTTATGTATAAAACAATGTTTTTAATTTTTTTATTTAGTACCATTGCAAAGACAATCTATTTATTCAACATATATAATGAATGTGAGTATTAGGTCAACGTCATGTATTTTGGTGTCTGCAAAAGTAAGTGACAGTACTTCCACCTTTTCTGTAGAATGAAAGAGACTAAGAACGTCTATATTTGACTAAACAACGTGTGTGTCGTTTATCAACAGAACACAGCTAAAAAAACGAGACAATCGTTACTATGATACATTCTAACTTATCATAGCAACACTAACACTGTCCAACTTGTACTGATAGTTACACAGAAAAGGGAACATGAGATGAAAGCTTTTGTTGACCACATATAATGAATTATGTTAGTAAAATCCGTTACAATATACATGTTTAATTCTTAATGGAATTTTGCTTGAATATTGAACAATTGGTGAACTTTGGGAACCCTCAGATCATGGCTTACGAATCCTGATCTTGCTGATAATAACCCCTTCAAAATTAAACAGCAAAACATGGATTTTACTGCCCTTTAGTAACTTTTAATCCTACTATTTTCCTGTTGCATGTTCGGTCCAGGAGATGGTAGAGATAACCCAGTCCCAGGTGCAGAAAGTGTCCTGAAGTTCAGCCAAAGCGAATGTGATGCACCAGCAGTCTGAGTTAAACAAATCCAGTTGATCTTTTCCCAAGATACTGTTTTATTAATATGAAATCCCCTCGTTTTAGCCATGCTAGCAGCGTGGCTCTAGGGATTTCAATGTCGGTCAGTCAGCTGAAATATCTCATTAACTCTTGGCTGGCCGCCATGATGAAACTAGCTACAGATCTCCAGGCCTTTAGAGAATACATTTAATCCGCCATTCTAAGCACAATTTTAAAACTCTGTCCGACTGCCTCAGCACAACTTTGTAGTAGTGCTAACTCGCTAACTTAAGCATGATGACGATCTGAAACTAAGATGGCAAACCCTGGCAATATAAAAACAATAAATCATCAGTAGGTTAGATTTTCATTGTTAGCATTGTGGAGGTTATCTTGTAGTTCAAAGTACACCCAGTTATCATGTCTAGACTCTGTGGTGTCAACAGAAGAAATTCTGTAATGAATGAGCTTCCTTTTAAGAAGGCCTCCACTTAATTTATGTAACTCTGAGGTCTCAATAATTAGCTTCATCTTGAGTAATGCATCATGCATTACTCAAGATGAAAGCTAATTATTGAGGGTGGGTGCTAGTGGATCGTCGGAGCTGTTAGATTAACAGATTAACATTAACATACTTATTGTAGTTGTAGTTGGGCTGGACCTGTATTTTACAGGAAAGGAGTGAGCAGAGGGTAGAGTTGTCGATTCTTGTTCGGTTTTCTGTGACTGATCTGCCTCACCCTCTCAGACTTTCAGTTGTGCACGCTACTAAAGAGACGCGCTACCATGGAAACCAAACAATGGTGTAGCTGTATTAAAGTCTGAGTGGAAACAGTCCTGTGTAAATCTGATTTTGTCAGAAATCGGGAGAAATGCGGGAAATCGGGAGTCTCCCGCGAAAATCGGGAGGATTGGCAAGTATGAATGCATGTTGTTCTATTTCGTATATGGCTTCGCCCTCTAAGGCTATCGCTATTGGGTAATCTCCCTGCGCCCCCGCGCAGCACTGAAACACTTGTAGTCCACGCCCACCCGCAAGGTGGGCCCCACCCTCGGGCCTCCTTCCGGTATAAATAGGAAGGCGTTCTTTTCTTCAGCAACCAGCAGCAGTACTGAAGCACAGGAAAATTAAGTCATGAGCAACAACTGTGTCCGTGATTGTCCCTCATGTAAGACGGGGTATATCATGAGCTATGACCTACACGCGATATGCAAATCCTGCCTGGGGCCAGAGCACGCGTACGCGGCTCTCAGCCAGCAGGTCGCTTGTTCGCATTGTGCCCGTCTCCCGTCAGCCGACAGGAAGCGAAGAGCGGACGCTCTAGCTGCTGCGGCTGAGGAGGACGATTGGCCCGTCCAGGAGCACAGGGACAACAGACTGTCTCTGGAGCCGAGTGCTGGGCAGGAGTCGGACGACTCCTACCCCGTCTCCCTCCATGGCCATGCGGCTCTCCCCTCCCCCCCGGACGGGAGCGAGGTACGGGTGTGGCGGCCGAGCACGCGGTCCCCTTCTCCGTTGCCACGGCGCTGCCGGCGTTGGGGGGCATCATGCTGGAGCTGCCGGAGATCATCGGCAAGGCGGCAGCCTGCAGAGGTCTCCTCGTTCCCCCAGGACGGGAAAGGGTGGCGCTGGATGACATGGCCGGAGTTTTTTCCCGGGTTCAGACGGGCAGGAGTGACCCGATCTGGCCGCGCTTCCCAGCCATTAGGAGGTAACAGGAGGGGGCTGCGGCGAACCCGAGGACCCTGAGGGCTCCGGTGGCCACCTTTGTTCCTTTCACTAAGGTGGAGGGATTCACTGAGGAGGGTTTCCCCACCACCCCCGCTCTGGATCCGAGCTTGACGGCGTTTTTTGGGGTTAGGCAGGCCAACTTGATCGCCGGACGGCGCCCTACGTTGGCCTCCCCAAAGGACCAGTATGTCGCCCGCCAGGCTGACCGGGCGCACCAATGTGCGGTTCAGGCGTCTGCGGTGGCAAATAACATCGCGTTGCTGGCCAACTCGGTGGTTACGCTGGTGGAGCGGCCCACCACCGTGGCTCCAGAGGAGGCGGAGGAGATCGGCAAGGCGGCCAGCACGGCGCTCACGCTGTGCGCATACGTGGCTGTCTCCCAGGCGAGGATCGAAGCGTGGATGACGCAGATCCAGCGCCACCTCTGGCTGCAACAGGCGGCTGTTACAGAGCCGGCCAGGAAGGTCTTGCTGGACGCTCCGATCAGCTCGGAAGGGCTGTTCGGACCCCAGTTTTTGGCCATGGTAGAGTCCATGAAAGCGGCAGCGGAGCAGGTGGATGATATCCGCCAGCACGTTGGCTGGCTCCAGCCTGCGGCGAAGCCGCAGCGGCACCAGCGGCAGCATCAGCAGCAGCAGCAGCGGCCAACCCGGTCACAGCGGCAGGCAGAGAGACAGCCGAGGCGGCAGACTCGCCCGTCGGCGGCGGCAGGGGCACCGTCCCGAACCTCCGCCCCCCCACCAGAAAAGAAAAAAGAAAAGTACTCCCGTTCGTCGTCTGCTCCACGAGAGCCGCCGAGGAAGCAGAGCCGGCCCTGACGGTTTGGGGGGGAGTGTGAAGGAAATAAAAGAAGCTTAATTTCCAACCTTTTGTCATCAGTTTCAAATGGGTTTCACATATCCCCCACTCTGGGTGAACCAGCTGCCTATGACCTATCGGTTAATAGCCAGCAGGGTTCGTTACAAAAGCCTGCACATTTTAATCTATCGGTTAATAAGTTACAGAGCGCAGTAACTACGCCAGCTGCCTCCAATCTGTTGATTAGTAGGCAGCGGGGTTCGCTGCGGGGGCCTGATGGTTATAACTTTTCGGTTATTAAACCACAGACCTCGCGGCATTCCTCTGTCCGAGATCTGCCACCTACACACGGTCACAATAAGCCCATGAGCGCCGTGGTAACGCCTCATGTGGATATCACTGCACACACCTCCACTCATCCTCTGAGCGTGTACGCGCCTCATGATGAGAGTCGGAGTGAAACGCACTCCGAGGCCACCGGTGGAACAAGGGAAGGTGATCCACCTCCCTTAAGTGAGCGCTCCCAAAAGCGTTTGGTGGGGCGAGACCTTCGTCTTGAACTGCGCAAGAAAACCCCAATTCGTCCGGTGACACCAGCGGCCTGCCGCGGGACACAAACCGGAGGGGTTCCTAGTTCATAGCAGCGGGCGGTCCCGACTGGCCCCGCGTGGTCCACAACGCCAAGTTCCGCAGAACGCCGCTCGCTTGTTGTAGCGCAACGACCGTTTGAGGCCACCAATGCGACCACCTTCGCAAGTGGGTGGCACCGAGGTCCCTCCGGCCTCCTCTAGCCGTTTCCGCCGTCGTGCCGCGAGTGCCGACCACGCGCCAAGCACCGACAGAGGGTCGCTCCTAGCTCGCACCTACTGCAGTCCTAAGGTCGCGGTGGAGACCGACGTTGTCCCGACAATGTTCTCGGGCCCCCCCCCGGGTCCCCTTCCCCCAGGAAAACCCCGAAAAACTGCGAGGTAGTCGAGCCTTCCCGACAAAGCCTGGGTCAAAAACCGTACCATCCCGGTACTCGCGTCGCCTCGTCGCGCCGGTGGACATAGGCGGTCGTGCAACCGACCGAGGTCGGACGGCCGCTTCCGGCGTTCGCCGTGGTCGCCGTCCGCGCGGTCGTCGTCCGTCGTCGTCGCCGTTGGCCGGTTTGTCGCGTCCGCTCTCGTCGGCTCCCGCCGTCTGAGCGGCAGCCGCCGCCGTCCCCGTGGAGGGCTCGGAGGCGGGGGGTGGTCCCTTTTCTTTTTCCTTTTCATGAAGCAAGCAGCAACGAGGTGCTCCTCGGCCGGCCCTCGTCCTCGGCCGGGACTGCCAAACCCCCCTCACACTTCCTTTATTTTCCCCTCGAATTAAAGGTTGGGAAAAACAGTAGTCAAAAGTTTACCAAAGGGTGTATAGGGGGGGAGGCCCACCTTGGTCGACGGATACTGGATAGCCAATAATCGGTCCTCGTCCCAAGCAATGTTTCGGACGTAAATTAGAAGCCGACTTATTCAATGTCTCGCGTCATTGATGCCGGTCCGACGAGGTTATACAACTAATCCATCCCGTCGCCCCAAGCGACGGCCCCCGACTACCAAATTGAAAAGCCAATAATGGTGCTGGAGCGCCGTAAAAGGAGGACAGGCCTAGACGGTGGATGTGTGCCAGTGTTATTCGGGTAACCTGCGTGCACCATTGCGAGTACCCACCCTAATAATGACGTGTGTGGATGATAGAGACTCGCAACATGACGGAGGCTACTCTCAGGCCTCACTTTGCCCGTTCGCACACCCTCCGTGGGTAGTGTTCGGGAAAGCGGATCCGGTGGGACCCCAAACGAGGTGCCCCGGGTCGCGCCCGCTCCCGAGACCGCACCGAGCAGCAGTAATGTTTGGTTGGTTGTGTAGAGCTCGTACACCGCGGCGAGAGTCTCACAAGAGCCTCACCGTCCCACACAGACTACCTGTCTACCTACCTTCCCGTCCGACCTAGTCGTCCTCCCATGTGGGACGTCAACGGAGGGGTGGGGGTGTCAAGTTTGCCCTATCTCCTCTGTGCGGACAGTAGGCCCCTTGTCACAGCCGGCGAGGTTCGTCTCGATGCCCTTGAAGGACCAACTTTCTCCGATAAAGGTCCAAGGGGGCTCCCCTCCTTTTTAGCCCCTATAAGAAAGGGCCGATGAAGGAATAGGGCTTTCGCCCCCTTATTCTTGGGTAGGGAGCTGACAAGTCGCAAGTTGCTCGTTATTACTTTTCCCGGCCAAAGTTGTAACCGACTGCCAGTTTTACCCACGATCTCACACAATGGGTCCCTCGACCAAGTGGAATATCCCTGGGATTTCCTACGGGTATGAGGGCTGGGAGTAGGGTGTTGGTGGTCCTTTAAGGAACGCAAAAGGTAAGGTCCCTATAGCCACGGGTCATGTTGCGCCAGACGGCAAGCCAATAAGGGACCCAGGAGCGGGAAAAGCTTCACATATCTCGCCGTAACGTCCGGCGTTTTCTCCTCCCCTACTCTCATGATCAAATGGGCCTGCGGAACGACGACTACCGAGCGAGGTCCCTCCTTTCAACCGAAATGTCTCCAATGTCGAGTATAGCCCGTAGAAAGTTTCGACCCAAAGACCTATTTGACCTTTTTCCACCAGGAGAAAGGGGGTCTCATAACAATGGACCCACACCTAACTTGAGTCGGGCGACCTCTCGCCGTTGGAGAGTGCCGGTCTTCTTCTGCTGTGGGAGCTGCGCGTGGGGCTCGCCTGCGGGGCGAGGTGCCGAGCGTTCGTCGGCTCGTGCCCACTACAAGGGCGACCCAAGGAAGTGTATCTTCTGAGGTCTCCACCAAATAAGGGATGCGTAGCTGGGGGCACCGCCGTCTCTCGGTCACAGTAGGAGACGCCCAGTCCTGAATTAGATTACTTTTCAGGGTTGCAAGGACAGTCTCACCACCGGGCCGTCTCAATCAGTGTGAGGCCACAGTGTCTGGTGAAGAGCCACCCTCTTCACGTACAGCGTCCGTCTGTCCCGGCAGTGTACAGGAAGTGTAATTTGCACACTTAAAAGACAGGCTGGCCTCCTCATTGTCGTAAAACGAGCTCGCGTATTGTCATTACAGCGTTGTCCCTGTTGTCTCCGGGCGCCGTCGATCGTAGTCTAGCGGTCCCGCCCCATGCGAGTCGCGTCGAAGACTTGTGTCGGTCTGCCGACAACTTAGACCCGTCGCGCGGCGTATGAGAGGTAGTCTCGTGACATACACGCCGCTCAACTTGTTTCGTCTGGAGTACAGTCTCGGGAGCGGTCCTCCCGACCTCGGGATGGTGGGTCGCTGCGGGTCCAACTGCCAAGCCCTCCGCCTCCGAGACCAAGCGCGTGCGCTTGCGCGGGGGGGGCTTCGGGGAGACACAGGGGACAGTCGCGCAGTGACACAGTGTCGTGACCACAATTGCAGCACAGACATGTTGCAGTTAACACTCTTGACCTTCTTGACGCGATGTTGTCGACTAGTGTTGCAAGTGTGAGACACCAGTGTTTTCATGAGGTGGATCGGGGGGGGCAGCTGGAAGGACTTCATGAGGGCAAATATCTTTAGTTGGAACAGTACGAATTCTGAGGGTGCCAAAACTACTAACTATCACACAAGAATCGACAGACAGCACAACTGATGTCTTTTTACAAAACTAGTCGTATGTATGACGTACACTTGACCTACAGTAGGCGACGACACGTACTTCCGACACGTAAGTGTCGTATGCTATAGGAGATCTTTACCGTCTAACACCCTGTATAAGCTTACCGCTAATTGGTACTCCTTAAAGAGGAATTCGACACGATTAGCCTCATACAGATCACAAACTTCGATTATAACATGCCGACGTAGAACCAGAAGGTGGACATATTATTAAATAATGTTTCAAGAAAAAACAACTCCATTACAGACCGGTCATAAGGAAATACTGTGTACGGGACATTGTTTCTCTTTTTTGACTCAACATGGATGACATTGGGGTCGAAGATAACTCCATTTCCGCGTCGGGAGATTCCCGACTAGGCGATACAGTAGAGGAGGACGCGGGGGCGCGTCGTGATTTTTGTGAACATCAGGTGCGCGGTGGGCGTTCCACCCGGGGTGGGAGCCCGAGGAAGGCCATTTATTTATCCTTTCCCACCGGGCCGTTAAGACGAGGGTATGTTTGTATTGAAAAGAAGTCGATAAGCATTCTCGGTCACCCGGGGCGTGAATCTCCCGACGCGGTAAATGAGTATCTTTCGACCCCAATGTCATCTCATTGGAGTCAAGATAAAGCATAACCGAAGCGGGAGATTCCCGATAGCTATAACCCAATTCCGCTTCGTACTACAATTCAGAACGCGGGGTGACCCAGGCGGGCCGTGATACTTCGTGTCTGTATGAACGAGATTTTGTGGGGCGGCGACGGACTACAACCGGTACGCATTTGACGAGTGGTGGCATGGGACCTTTGTATCGTTCGTTTGTACGGATAGAAGGGCTGCCCCACTTCCGACCCTTGTGTTATGTATGGCCGGCGACACTCCTTTTCATCTGCTTTAGGGTGGAGCCAGGACGCTAGCATCACCCCCCTTGTCGTCGAGAGACGCACGTCTGTCCGTCCTCTCGCGTGTCGACCTAGGGACTGCAGTGAGTGAGACTGGTCCGTGAGGCAGGTTGGTTTTCACACAAGTCTCCTTTTTCCTTGTAGGGAGGTATTCTCCCCTTTTACCCGGCGAGAGGCGCACGTTTTCCGTCCTCTCTCTCTCCGCGTGTCGGCCGAGGGGACTGGTAGTGAGTGGGGCTGTCCTGTGGGGTCATGTCCCACACAGTTCTCTCCTTACCCTTCTGTAAGGGAGTTTATTTTTCACTTATTTATTGTCCCCCTTCTGGTTCTACGTCGGCACGTTTATAGAAGGTGACCTGTAAGGAGGCACGGTTCGGCACTCCTTTAAGGAGACCACCTCACGCGGAACTACAAGAGGCCCCGAGGTGGGGTCTCCTCTGTATACGGACACTGTGTCGGGAGTGTCCGGTCACACTGTCGGCAACACGGTCTGTCTCCCAACGGGCTAGCTCGCGAGAGATATCACGGTGCTTGTCCGCGACTCTTGCCGCGGTCCGGCGGTCAACGCACGGTGTATCGTCCTGTCGCGCGCGTGGCCCCGTCTCCTCTACTCTACACCGAAGAAGTAGGGCTAAATACTCCCTCCGCCTTTTTTTTGGGTAGGTCCCCAACTAGTGAGAACTGGAATTTTCACGAACACTACTGGAAACCGTATTTCCCGACCCAATCCGGCATCTCGTCGCTTGACGGGGAGCCTAGGCCCGTACTGCCTGTCTATACGCTATTTAGTTGTGGGACGACTACAATTCGGTTTTCGTGATGTAACCCGACTATTGTAAAATTCCCCTTGGACGAAGGGCCCAAGTGTACCCCGAAACGAT